AGGCCACACTGCAGGCATATCCAGAGCCAGTTACATAATACTCTTTCATAGCCCCAGTGGGAGAAAAAAATGGGGAGAACATTACAGCTCACACAAAAATGGCATGACCTTAAATAACCAAATTCACAAACGAAGAAACAAGTTCCAAAAAAAGTTTATAGAAGACACCAGTTTTTTGTTTTGGGGGGTTTTTTTAAGGCAAAAGAACAACTGGAGATGGTGGAGAAAAACCCAAAGATTCAAAAACTAAGATCTGGAACTAGGCAACAAAATTAAGTCTGACAAAACCAGTAGCCACCAAATTAAATCAAACATCTGCAAGCCCGCTTGGGGAAGGTGACTGCTAGGAAATAAAATTTAGCCTAAACCAGCTTCTGCTCCAAAGGAGCTCACAATTTAGCAAAAACGTGGAGGAAGCAAGGGTGAGGTGAAGATGACATGGTCCCCAGGGGAAAGTGCAAAAATACTGTGCTTATAAGATTTTGCAGATGCAGGTGTGGTGGGTAACCAGGGCTTGGGGCAAAGCAGACATTTCATGGTCAGACTAGACTTGGAATTAAAGTGTAATTTCTTTTAAAAGCATATGAAAAAACACAAAATTGTTATACGATGCTTTCTTTGTTCTAATGAGAGGTTCACATTCAGGTCGGGATGGGACAAGCAAGTTGTTTGTGGCTGGCAAAAAGGAAAAGTTTCAGATGTTGCTAAAAAAAAAGTTCACAATAAGTGTGGGAATTGGGTCTGAGGGAGTAAGAGCATGATTTGAAACAGAAAGGAAAGAACACGGGACCCAAAGAGGCACAACAAATAAATCCTGACAGCTAAGAACTGCAACCCACGCGGCCTTCCGGCAGAAAGACCGCGGGAAGCAAAGGGGCAGGGGTTGGGCGGAGTGCCAGGGCTGAATCGAGGTCACCGAGAAGGCACAGAGAGCAAGCTGACGCTGTTGGATGAGGCAGGAGAGCAGCCTCTGCGGTTCTGCGCGGAGGGTAAAGCCGATCTGCACGTTTTAGAGTCCGAGAAGTGGAAAATCTACCAGCTGGGGCCAGGGTGGGCGGGTCGGGCGCTTAAAGGTCAAGGTCAAGGTGGAGTTTGGCAAGAGATGCAGAAGCGCGCTCAGAGGAGACCGAAGACACACAAAATATTAATCATCATTAGGTTTTTGGTTCTTTGTTTTTTTATAAAAGGTCTCCTGGACATCTCTGGAGTGGGAGAGTAGAAGCGGCCTTGGCAGGAGCGAGTACAAAATAGGCGGGATGCCGGAGTCGGCAAGGGGAGCGGGCCGCGGGGCCAACCACGAGAGGGAGGGAGGGACTCAGACCCGGGCCCTGGGCCACCGCCGCACTCACTTGCCCTCCTGGCAATCATAGAGCACGATGGAGTCGTCGTCGCTGCTCGAGATGACCGTCTCGCCGTTCGGGCTGAAGTCGAAGCAGTTAATCTTGTCCGAGTTCTCGCGGAACACCTTGGCCACGCGGAAGCTCCGCAGCACGCTGTCGGTCAGCTTCATGGCGGCAGCGGCTGGAAGCAGCGGCGGCGGAGCAGGGCTGGGGCGGGGCCCCGCGGCAAGCGGGCGGGCGAACGGGCGGGCTGCCGAGGGGCCGACCCGGGCGGGGCGGGCGCCGCGCCGGCGACGAGCTGGAAGGTGACCGACAATCGAGCCGCCTGCTTCTCTCCCTTCTACAGCTTGTGCAACGTTCTTGTGCCTGACTGTTAGGCCTTGCCGACCGATTCTCCTCACAGTCGCCTCAGGGCCAACAGGAGCGACGCCTGCTCATTGTGTCCGCCATCTTGGGGCGACAAGCAAAAGCCTAGGGCGAGGAGCCGCACCGCGGCGCAAGCCGGGAAAGGGGGCGGAGCGGGAACGGCGGCGCGAGGCGGGGAGGCGGGGCGGTGACGTCAGCACGGCAGCGTGGAGTAGAGTGGCGGGATGGCCACTGGCTGTGGGGCGGGAGGGGGTGGGGATACCCACGACCTTCTACGTGGGCGGGAAGACTGCTGGTGCTTTGCAGCCGTGGGCCTTTGTGCGGGATAGCAGCCCAACAGGAACTCAGGGCGCGTCCCCTGCAGAGGCCCCCAACCTCGGTCTATGCGGAAGCTGGTCCTGCGGGGATCCGACAAGCCCCTCCAGGGGCCT